TATGACATTTAGTACAGAATAAAGCTTTAATCAGATGAACAGAATTATGGTACTTAAAGGGTTAGTTGATCCGTAAATCTTGTGTCACTCAACTCGATTCACAAACTTGTCCAATAAACAATGCTTGTTAAAAAACATCATGTGCATATGGTGCATGACAGACAGGTTGTTGCCCAATGTCCTGAACCAATGATTCATCTTGAGACATTCCTACCAGTGGAACTCAATGTAAACCACTGATTCACACAAGAACATGAGCCCCTTTATGGTAGGTTAGGGTACAGGGTTCAATGTTTCACTCTGCTAAGGCCTATCAATTTGAACTCCGTTTACCTAAACTAGTGCGAGCTGAGTGACAAAAATGAGTGTGATGTTTATGGCTCATGAATAATGATATTTAAGAACTTTTAAGAATATTAGTTATTATTAAGGACTCTAAAATTATGAAATTTCAAAAAAAGATATAGTTTTTATTTGCAATTAATTTTTTTCATTGAATTTCTTTTGTACGGTCATCTTCCATGTTTCAGTACACATTTTTCAAATTTTGTGCTCTTCATATACTTATGTTTTCAATTTTTGGTAGTTACTTTAGATGTTTCCAATACTTGTTTTCCATGTTTTCAGTACTAAAAATAATTATTTTTAATTCTCTTCATAATTAAAATCATGGAAAATGAGTATTGAAAAAACTCAATCACAATTTTAATTTCCTACTAAGGATTTGGGTTTTTTTCTTTTTTTTTCTTAAAATTTCATTGTTTTAGTATCCTTAATTGTAATTGTTACTTAAATATCATTTCTCTCATTAGAATTTATGTTTTTTTTTTATATAAAGTTTAGGTGAGTTGATTTCTAAGAGTTTATCAATGTTATGGCATGCTCCAGGCATAAAGAACGTTATAAATGTATTTACAATTGCTCACTTACAAGGTCTTCCATTAATAGTGAGATTTTAATCCCACACTTTATAGGTTATGAATCAAATTCTTATCAACTTGATTGGTAGATATATGTTGATAGGTCATGCAAAGTGTAATTATGCCTTGTTACCTTTGGTCCCTATAAATCATGACTTGGTGACCACCTCTATTGTAATCCTCCAAGTAAGAAAAAAAAGAAAAAAAGAAACAACCATTCAAGAGTAGCCATCCAAAACCCAAATGATTATTCCAAGTATAGAAGGAAAATGTTTTTGAAAATGTTATCTTTGATCCATTATTATAGATTTTTATCATAGAAATCTCGTGCAACATTCAAAGATTAGGATCATCTAAAATTTAAAATCCTTGAAGTTGGCAAGGTTAATGCAAAATATCAGTATTCTAAATTTTAACTTTCATCATATATGTAGGGATGAAATAAAATTGATTTGCAATGCAAAATATCAACTTTTGTTAGTGACCAAAATATCAACTTCGCCAACCTCAGAAATGGAACCTCAGGACCCAATTAAACATGCAAAGCAATTAGTTGTCCTTGAGGGGTTTTGCTTCATACTTATCTTCAATGCAAACTCATGATGAGAATGTTATAGGACATCTTTAGGTTGCCTAGCTGACTTGAATTTTTGTCAGCATTAACAATAATTGCTTGTTATTTATAGGCAGTGATGCAAGGAAAAATCACTTGATCATCACTTTAATTTTTTTTAAATAATTGCGTAGCAATACAAAAAGAAATAAATGGGGCCAACTGGCAGATAAGTAAAGTTGTGATTAGAATATAATAAGTAGAAGAACAATTAAACACAGGTTTTAAGGTTTTCAAACTTAATACATATATTTGATGACAATGACAATTTCTAGAAACAGACAAGGATCCGGATTCAATGAATGCTACAAATCCTCTCTTCCAATGAATGTCCTACGCAGCACTATAGTTATCGTTGATTCAATCAAATGGTTACTGCCAATGATGGTGATATATATATATATATATATATATTAAAAAAATTCATAGCTCTACTATTTACTATGTCATGTGCCTTAATCTAATTATTCATATGGTTGCAATTGAAATACATTATCATCCTTTGAACCAATTAAAGCTTGCATGAATGGTAAAAGTTTTGACCACATAAACAAATAGTTAGTGGTTTGGATCATAGTTTGTTATATAACAACTTAGTTGGGAGAAGTTCGTTGTTGGCCTTCAGTATTTTGGAGGAGATAATTTCTTCTCACAAGGAGTTTGCTCCTTGTGCTTACAAATAGGGGAAAAAATTCAACCCTTCATTTCATTTATTTCAAAACAAGTGTGAATTTTCAAACGTTGGTAAAATCCTGTGACTTCAAGCCTTCAGTACAGATGGTCACGAGGTAAGAAGACTTGATACACCCCCTGTGCCCCCAACAAAAGTACCCAATGGCAAGTAATGCACCTTATTGTGCCTCGAACAAAAGTATTTAAATTAAAAAAAAAAAAAGAAAGAAAACTTGGTTGGTACGCTCATTGACTCCAGATTCAACAAAAACTGACTGAGCCATCAGTGCTGTGTACCACACCTGCTTAGTTGTACTCTCTCTCTCACACACACACAAGCATGAGTGGATTTTTGGAGGGTGAGTAGGTATAATTGGCCAAGACTTAGTCTTGGAATGGCCCTACTCATCATGAGTTCAATCCGAAGCTCTGCATTATCATCAATATTCATCACTCCCATTCGCTTTCAACTGTCCCAAAAGTACCACTCATAACAAAAATGACACTGCATGCTTTCAACAGACACTATTATTAGGATCACCATGAGAAGTGGGATATATATCTATAACAAAGAGAAAAATAATATAATACTACTAATATATAAAATGTATTGATTTATAAATTTAGCGTGCTAAAGCCTAAATATGACGAGTGATCCACGTCATATGAGAGTTTGAGTTCAAATTGGTAATGTCAGATTGAGAAGGTGGCGCCTCTTACATAATTATTAGCCCTACCAACTTTACGAGAATTGTGTATGTGTGTCATTATGCTCCTTTGGTCTTGAATATATTCATATAATCTTCTTTATAAGTTATTTTCAATTAAGAATGAATTTAAAGTAAACATATGGGGCCAAAACTGAAACATTACAAGAACTGGGAGGCCAAAATAATTTTTCACATATTTTACAAATGAAAATTAAAATATTTCAAAAAAATTTGTAGTATGGGGGCCACCACCCTTGCATGTCCCCTTTATCCGTTCATGCTTTCAACATGTTTTAGCATAAATCTATAACTAAGAAAAATATTAAAAATTTATTAATTTGTTTTAAAAATTTAATAAATTTTAACTTTATTCTTATTAAAATATACATATTTTAAAAACACACTTTCTCTCACCAACATTTAATAAAAGGTAAATGAAAAAATTTGTAACAGACATTTAATAATGTGACTTTTAAATAAAATAAAAAAAATTATTTATTTATTTTATAAATAGGACTAGAGGGAATAGTTAGTTAAATAGTTGTTTTTTATCTTAAATGTAAGATATCTCAATATTTCTTACTCCCTCTAAACCTTAACATGAGACAATTTAATCAACTTTAGGCTATTAAGAAATGGTCCTCATATGTTAACTTTTAATTTTACCATTCTTTACCATTAATAATAATAATAATAATAAATTATTGTAGGGGAATTCCAATCATGATAAATAAACAAGAGTGAAATTGAAAAATAAAATTAATTACTCTAATTTTGTTTTATACTAAAGAAAAAATTCCCAAATTTTACGTTATATTAAGGATAGAGGAAGTATTTTGTACTTCAATCTACTTTGTCTCTTATATTGTCATGTTTTCACTAAACTATTCCTATATGTTGTTGTGGTACTTTAAAATGTTAGAACATATGTATTCTTGCTTATAAAATTAGGGGTATTTTCAGTGACCGATAAAAAAAAAAAAGAGCTAGTGGGGGCATAATTATATTTAAAATAAATTTATAATTTTTATAATATTTATATAATTATAGTCAGGATAATTTATATGAAATTTTTTGTAAGGGGACAGTGAATTTTTTGTTTTAAATGACGGAGCAAAGAAATTTTTTAAGGGGTACATACATTTCTTTTGGGTCTTGTTATGTATATTTTCCTATTTGTCCAACGTGCATCCGTCATTGGGGATTTAGGAAATGAACACTTTCTTTTTTTAATAATTGACCAACTTAATTAATTTTCTTAATTTATGTGAATTTTGTTGATAACAGCTTAGTGTTTCGTATTAATATAACTTTGGAGCCTTGTTCTGTTTGGTCGTTAGTATTTGTACGTATTATCCCATGATTATTTAATTAAAAATTATTTTAATTTGTCATTCGTTGCCGTACATAGTGTCTGAGGTTCACGATGACATTATCAGAGTGCAAATCTCTTTTGGAGAGATTTTCAAAGACAAGTGGATTATAAGCATGATATTGAGATTTCACAATGTTGGCCACA